GAAAGCACTGGGGTAGGCAGTTTTTCTCAAAAGCTAAACCTCTTAATATTTCAAGGTGGACAGGTTTTGCTGCCTTCTTTAAATGAATAAATTAAGGATTGAGGGCTTCTTGTTGAGCAGGAAATTCAAGAATTTTAACCTTAGCTACACATTAGTGTAATGGGAGAATGTAAATATTCTTAATGTCATGCCATAGGCCAAAACTACTCAGTGACTGTGTCTAGGGATAGAAACAAGCATATTTTTCTTAAAGTCCTGTGGCAGTAGTTTCAGGTAAAGTCACTGAGGTGGTAGCATCTGCACAGCAGAGAGGTTTGGGAGTGTTACCCTGTGGCAGACCACAAAGAACCACTACAAACAAGCCCAGATGATGGCAGATTAGGCTCAAACCTTAGAAACTCTGATATAGATTACCAACTATTTCCCACTCAGGGACTCTTCCAGTCCCCCTGTCAGGCAAACACAGATAATATTTTTAAAAAATGATACAACAATGATAAAAAGATATTTAGACAGTAGGACTACTGGATTTATCCAACTGTTTTATCCAGAGGTTCATTATGTGCATGTTTTCTACTATGACATCAAGCTCTTGGGTTTAAAAAAAAAAAAAAAAAAAAAAAAAAAAAGCTCCAAATGAGCTGCTTGCTAGTAGTCAAGAAAGAAATCAGATTTCTTACATGTTTCCTGATCTCCTTCAATAATAATAATTAAAAATGTAAAATAGTGGGGGTGGGGTGGGACACTGCCTTAGCCAATTAAGTATTTGAATTATAGGCATGAGCCATAAAATCCAAGGACTAATTGTATATACTATATTGAACTTACTTGTGTTAGTTTCAAAAACATCTTTATTTACATTTTATGATGAAAACATTCTTCCTAATTTCACTTTTTTATCATTGTATCTAAACACTTTCACTAACTATACATCTGCATTATATATTCATATATGTATATGCAAATTATGCATATAATTCTCTGCATTACACTAGTATACTTCATGTTTTGTTTAAAGATTGACTAAATATTAATGAAAAGTTTAAGAGTGTGTACTAGGATTATGTTTGCTTATTTCTTGGTACAGTGATTTAAAAGCTAAGTCACTTTAAAAAGGGGAATAATAATACCAGGGAGAGACTCTGTTATGTCCCTTTCACTAATTAATGTTGTGGTCATGAGCTTTTTCTGCATAATTTTTGTTTTCGTATAGAATTCAAATTGTTAAGTGTAGCTCCCTAACAATATAAATTAATAAAAATTTATAGAAAGAGGCATAAACTATTCAAAAAATAAAAGAAGCCAATATACTTATACAGAATTCAGTGAGAAAATAACACTAAAAATCTCCACATGGTTAGGAAACAGAAAACTGGAACAATATGTTTTAGTTGTTCATTAGCTAAGATGTTGAATTACATTCATTTTTAGGTATGCAAGTAATGAATTCTGTATTCCATATTCCTTTGTCAATCTTCTGTTACCACAAAGAGATACTATGATCACAGCAACTCTTATAAAGGAAAACACTTAATTGGGGCTGGCTTACAATTTCAGATGTTCAATACATTATTGTCAGGGTGGGAAGCATGGTAGTACACAGGGAGATGTGTGTGTTAGGGTTTCAGTTGCTAAAATACCATACCATAATGAAAAATGCATTCAGTCCAATTTGAAAAGTCTCCAAGCATAGTCTATTACAGTCTCAACACTGTTTAAAATTTCAAAGTCTATTTGGAGACTCATAGCAATCTCTTAACTGTAATCATCTCTAAATTAAAATAAAAACAGTATCACATACTTTCAATAATGGCAAAGGATAGGTATTACCATTCCAAAATGGAAGAAAGAGAGCATAGTGTGGAAATACTGGACCAAAGTGAGACCAAAAACCAGCTAGGCAAACTCTCAAGTCTGAATCTCTATGTGTGAAGTCAAATCACTCTTCAGATTTCTAATATTCCTCAGCTTTTTTAACTACTTGCTACATACTTCTTTCCCTTGGTCTGGTTCTACACCCTGTTAGCAGCTCTCTTTAGCAGGTATCCAACAGCTCTGGAATCTTTAAACTTTTGTGATCTTCAACAAAATTCAGACATCATTTTCATAGCCTCACACAATAAGTTCTATGATTCTCCACACAGGGACACCCCTGACACATACCTTGCCTTAGCAGCTTGCCTTAGCCATGGAGGGAGATTCCATAACCCCTTTCTAAAATCTTGACTCTAAAGCCAGAACCAAGTGGCCAAAGTTATTAAATTCTGCTTGCTGGGGCTGGAACATGCCACCATACTTAGAGTACATTTTCACCAGTTTTCTGTTTTTCATGGTTTCCCTCACTGGCTAAGCTTGGCTATCCTGCCACTTGCTCTTTAGACCAGGCTAGCTTGAAACTTCGAGACCTGCTTGCCTCTGCCTCCCCAGTGCTGTGATTAAACTTGTGCACCACCACACCTGGCCCTAAGATTTTCTTTAATCCATTTTCACAAATTGGAAATTTAGCTGGGTGGAGTCCTGCCTTGCTGTTACCACTCCCTTTACTCCAATCAGGGTAAAGCTTTCCTTTAAACTTTGTAATCTCCCTGAGCACTGGATTTAGCTCCATTATATGTCTTTTTTCCCCCTTCGAACTGTCCATTTTGTATTTCCTTTTGCCATGCTTGCTCCTTTTCATTATAGATCTGAAGAAGACTGACACTAATAACCATATGACATGGTCAATAGTATGCTGTCAGCAAGAGTAATCCAAAACTTCTCAATTTAGACTCAGGCAGACTATTTGGATGAGGGCAAAAAGCAGCCACATTCTTCATCAAAATATCACAAAAACAATCTTTAGGCCACTTACTAATATTTTCTTCTGAATCTTCTTGAGTTAGGCCACCTTGATCTATATTACTCTCAGCTCCACTGTATTCCCTACTTCTACTAGCATTGCCCATTAAGCCCCACTTAGTGTTCAGCTACTTTCTTAATTCAAAGTCCACACCTGGCCTACAAGAAGTATCTGTCAGGCATGTCACAACAATACCCAAGTCCATGGTGCTATCTTCTATTTTAATGTTTTATTATCGTGAAGTGATACCATGACAATTCTTATAGAGCAAAACATTAATTGGAGCTGTTTACAGGTTCAGAAGTTTACTTCATTAACATCTTTGTGGGAAGCTTGGAAGCATACAGGCAGATGGTGTTAAAGTGGTAGCAGAGACTTCTACATTTGGATCAGCAGGAATCAAGTAGACAGAGCAGTGGACCATGCTTGAGCATTTGGAACCCCTAAAGCCCATCCCTAGTGACACACAAGTACATACCTACTCTGCCAAGATCATGCCTATTAATAGGGCTGCTCCAGAATGATCAATGTTCAAAGCTATGAAACTATGGGGGCCATTTTTATGCTAAGCATGACACCATATTAATTAGAAACATACTTCTATATGCATATTTTATGTAGCTTGTAAGAATATTCATTTAGTTTTCCCTTTGAGGCAGGATATCAGATATCCCAAGCTGTTTTTGTAGCTGAGAATTCTGCAATCCCACTGCCTCAATTTTGTGATTTTGATAAACAACCTTCTTTTACATTTTATTATTATTTATTTATTTTTTCTTATTTTACATATCAATTCCAGTTCCCCCTCCCTCCTTCCATGCCCCCTGACCACCCTCCCATCCCATTCTCCCCACATGCCACAGGGAAGGTGATGCCTTCCAAGAGGGATCAACAAAATCTTTCATATCATTTGGAGTAGGGACTAGTCCCTCCCTCCTGCCATTAGGTTAAGGGAGTATCCCTTCATAAGGAATGTGCTCCCAAAGTCCTTTTGTGCACCAGCGATACATCCTGGTTCCACTGTCAGAGGTCCCTTAGACTGCCCAGGCCTTCTACTTGAGACCCATGTTCAGGGGGTCTGAGTCAGTCCAATGCTGGTTTCCCAGCTATCAGTCTGGGGGACCGTTAGCTCCCCATTGTTCAGGTCAGCTGTCTCTGTGGGTTTCTGTAGCCTAGTCTTGTCCTCTTTTGTAACAAGTGAGCTACATCACTAGCCTGAATATTTATTCTTTAAGAAAATAGAAAGTCAATTGATAAGCACTTACTCACTTGCAAATAAAATGTTAATTTTTCTCCAAGGGAATCCTACTGGGGAAACAAATGACTCTCAAGGGCAGGCACCATGGCCAGCATTAGGTGGCCAAAAGAAAGTGAATTTAGGAGGTTCCTTGTCTCACAGTGTTCTGTCAGGGCTTTATCTTTTGCTTTTTATTTCATTTTTAACATTCTATGATTATTTTTATTTTATGTATATCACACCCCCCAACACATGCATACGCACATGCACACGTGCGCGCGCGCGCACACACACACACACACACACACACACACACACACACACACACACACACACTCCATTTATTTCACCATACAGGTCCTTTACATATTTATTTTGGCTTCTACTTTAATCTTCTTATGTCCTGAGTGTGCACCCAAGAGGGTCTCTGTGTCTCTTATGCCTTCTCTTGGGCTCTTTTTATTTGTATTGTTATACTGTGATATGCCCGTGGGTTTTATCTTATTATATTATATTTTATTATTCCTTAGAAGCCCATTTCTTTATGAGAGGCAGAAGGAGAGAGGTTGTAAATGGAAGGAGAGGTAGAGAGGAACATGGAGGAATAAAGGGTGGGGTAACCATAATGTAATCAGGATATGTTCTATGATAAAAATTTTCAAAAATTTATTTTCAATTAAAGGAAAAAGGAGCAAATTACAAGAAAGAGAAAAGTTGAATAATTATGCTACACTGGGGAAGGAGGAGGAAATCCTGAGCAACACTCCTTCACTGTCGTTTGAATGTTTTTAGATGATTTCAGGATTAGATTAGAAATTATTTGAGATATAACAAGTAGATCAGGAAGTATTATATTTTATTAACTTCTGTATTAGTAAGTTAACTATATTCTCCTCTGAAAGAAAAAAATCTTTCTTCACATAGACAAGAAACTCTGGTGGGCAGACCAAAACTTAGCTCAACTGGGAACTTGTAACAAAAGAGATGGAAGAAATCCCACCATCCTGCGAAATAAGACTTCTGGGGTTGTTCACATGAAAGTGTATGACAAAGAAGCACAACAAGGTAAGTCCATCCGTGGTGGATGCATGACACTGTTTGCATAAGGTGCCATTGCTTTCACAGGTAAATAATCTGTTGGCTCCTATTCTAGCCTTTAGTTATGTGTTGTGGAGGAAACCATGCTTAATACTAAAGAAAATGGTCTTTCACATAAGAGGTACAGTGACTTCTGTAAGTCACCAGGATTTCTGTAAGTCACTGTAAGACTTCTGAAGATTTTAAATTTTTTACTTAATTGAATTTTAATCTAAAAACTGCAGATTTAAAAACAATTGAATGAAAAATTTTATACTATGTAACTAGTCCAGAGATATTCAAATGTACCACATTGACATAATTTCATATCTTAAACCACAGTATTGTTTGGCCCTGCGCATGTGCATTTTTGTTTCACTTGTCCATGTGGTGGGCAGTGAGATGGGGTGAAAACTTGTAGATGGTATATGTTGGGAGACTTGTCTCAGTGCCCAGCTGGCAATTGGATTAGAAAAGCTGCCAGTGCAGCTGAGCACATGCTAGTTGTTCCTTAGTCCTTGCTACAGAACGCATGAAATTAGCATAATCCTCTTTGAAAATGAAAATCAGTCTCCACATAATACTGCCTAAATTCTTCTCTTTCTCTTGTTCCTCAAACAATTCTCCACATACACATGATGCTTCCTTAAATTGTGCTCCACAGACTCTTCCCTTACTTTCACATACATTTCTGCTCACAGTAAATTTCAAAACTTTATTTGGACAATAAAGAGGGGAATTTAATCCAAATAATTTGGAATATGTAGACCAAATCAGTTACAAATGAGGGGAAGAGAGGAAACCATGAGGCCAACTGTTTCAGAAGCAGTGTATAGTATTCAAGAAGGCAGGTTTTGCTAGTCCTACCCATTGCAATATTTATGAACAGCAGTAGACAAATACAAACTAGAGTGGTGCCTGCCATCCATTTCAAAGACTGAAATATTGGTCTAGATTCCTTTCTATGGTTAAAGGAAAGCATATGCTGTTTTCCAATAAAAAAAGGACTTTTTTAATTTAATGTGATATGATTAAGGTATTTTATTGTTGAGAACATATCAATTCACAGATGACTCCCTGCACAAATGTATATTCCTTCCAGAATATTTAGTTATTTTTCTTTGAATATTTTAATTCAAGTATATCATGGTTTTAAACACACTCACCCCCATATTCACTCATTATTTTCCTTCTCCCCTTCCCAGTAGTTCCCTTCCTTCTCCCAATATCATTTCTATTGTCATTTTGTATGAATGTGTAAAGAAAAATGTGTTACTTTTCTTTATGATTTTGAATGATTTTCCCTGGTGTCGTCATCTCTAGGTGTATCATTTTTCTGCAAAACCCAAATAAGATGAAAAGTATTTCACTATCTTTTATGGCTGAATATAATGCCAATGTGTTTGTGCTTTGTTCTCTCAGCTAATAGTACACACACAGAACATTTTTAAAAGATGGTTAATATAATAATGCTGCAATAAACATGTATGTACAAGTATTTCTGCAGTGTGTCAACTGAGAGTCATGTAAGGAATATACTCAGGAGTTGTATGACTGGGCCATATGGTAGGTCATTTTGTTTCTGTGGTTGAACTACTATACTGATTTCCATAATATCTCAATTAATTTATATCCTACCAACTGCCTATAATTTTTCTTACTTAATTACTGCTATTATATTTCCCTGATGGCTAACTATATACTCAACAGGTTAAGTGTAGTTGGTCAAATGTACCTAATAGTTTTTTTCCTAATGGCTAACTATATTCAACAGTTTAAGTGCAGTTGGTCAATTGTACTTAATATTTTGATTAATATCTGTTAATTTTATTAGTCAATTTATAGGTTAGAATGTTTGATTTTGTGTATTCAGTTTTATGATATATAGTCATTTTTTAAGTCACTTGGTATAATAATTTTTTTCCTAGTAGTTAAATAACATTTTCTGTATCTCAACAAACAATATAGGCATGGGGCTTAACTCAATGGTGGAATGTTTACATAGCATATGAGGTATTGTGTTTGTTCCCCAGAACAGGAAAGCATATAAGTAAATAGATAAGTGAATATTTATTAGTATTCAAATCATTTAGATAATACTATGTTATGTGTAATACAATACTGGTAAGAAATGTAATGTAAGATATTTTCATGTCTATTCAATATAAACTTAATTCAGTACAAAAGGCTAAAATTGACAATACCACTATCAATTTCATTGCACAGATTGCAATAGACATATTTTTTCGAAATTATGTAAACACGGCCTTAGAAAGTACAGCATGCACAGAATCAGAGGGAGTGCAGAAAGTAGTTCCAATCAAGATGCCTAGAGACATGAAGGCATTGGCCTTTCAAGACATGAACAACTCATACTTCCTGTGAAACAGCATACCAATTTATAGATAGTGGATCTGATAAAATTATCAGGAGGATGTACTTATATATGACTCTTGACTCTGCTCTTCATAGATTCACATCCCCTACCTAGGAGACATGACTCTATAGGTGCCGCAAGGTATCACATGCACTACAAAAGTGTCTGACTCAGTGGTAGCATACAACTGCACTGTTCTCACTGGAAAATACTGACAGAATCTGTTTAAAAGACAATGACATTAAGAGAATCACTGTTGTTAGCTTGAAAGCTTCATTAGAATGAAATATGAGCAATTTAAGGCTCTTTAAGGTGTTAACATTATTACCTCCTTGGATTTCAAATTGCAATTAACTACCCCACTTATCACTTTTGACACAGATCACTAGAGAATTGAGGTTCTTTTAATCAAGTGGACTTTCCAGCTCTACTTGTCATTTGGGATGTGAGATATGAACACCACTCTCACGAAAATCCTAAACCAAACTATTACTTGTAACTTGATAATGACTGCAATTGCCCCCTATTTGCATCTTTATATATTCAATGAAAATATTGACTTAAAACATGACTAATTTCATTACTATTTTATCTCTACAGAAGTTCTGAGAAATATATGTTGTTACTCTACAAGTGTGTTAAGACACATGGCTTTTATTTATCAACAAATAAGTATAAAGTATATTACCAGCATTGTAGTTGTACTATCCACCGGTATCTACCATTTCGTTTACTACTTCCCCATACTTCTGCTAATATTAATATAATTTCTCATATTCTCTTACTTACATTTGTTCACTCTTTTCCTTGACTTACTTAACTTTTCTTAACTTTTTCGTCTCCCTCTACTCTCTTTCCATGTGGTACATGGTGAAATGCCACTTGCCCATTTCTTCCCAGATTTCAGTCTTTGGCATTAGCTGAAGCAAGAATTATAGAAGCACATGTCTATGGACTAGCATTAAGTTAACATGTGATGACATGCTTTCTATAAAATCAAGGATATTCATGGTCAGTTTAGAATGTCTACACAGTTGTTAATATAGTTGTCTTTTTCTGGAAAACATCAGAGATCTGAACTGTCTGTTACTTTAAGTCACCTTGAGAAAAGAGATGAGTCAGTCACCTCATTAGCTTATATAAGTGATGCATAGGATTGCTTTAAAACTTCAAGTTACTTCTAAGGGGTTCAATATTGCTTAGCTATAGATGAAGAAATGAGCTGAGAATATGCTCCATCTCCTGATAATCCATATCCCAGATAAAGAATATTTCACACTTCATAAATGACATAAATAGTGACAGATTCTATTGAACAATAAAACCCCGAATTCAGTAGATGAGAAGTAATGAAGTAAGCTGGCATTTGGAATCTCACATACAGTCCTATTGACACACAGCTCTCAGCATGTTTTTGTGATGGTCACTGAACTTTGTAGCAGAGCTTGAACCCATTAAATAGCATTGCACATTGTCCTGCAACAATAAAATTGTAAAATTGAGCTATTTTAAGGAATTTACAGGATAGAATGTAAATTACTTAACTTTATGCTACAGATTTAACTTCCAATTGGGCCTAGTGAAGTCAATGGAAGATCTGTATGGAATGTCATCATGGAATTATTTGAGAAATATTTGTCATTGCCACCACACAGGAATGAGGAGAAGTAACATGCCAATCAATTAAATGATGTTTTGGGGTGTGTTATAAATATATTTTAGAAGAATTATGTTCTTTTGGATGTAGAAAATAATTTCTTTACTTTAAAAACTAAATTTGAAACACACATGCACATATAAATCCTGTCCTTTTAGAGGTGAAGCTACACTTGACAGAAAGTAAACATTGCATTTTTGTGTGATCTTACAACATTTTAAAGGTCTCTGACAGCCGGGCACGATGTCATATTCCAGGAACACATATTTTGAGAAGGTGAGATAAGAGGATCATGTATTCTAGACCCTCTGAACATTATCTAGTAAGATCTGTTTGAAAACACAGAACACAAAAGGCAGAAATTAAAGAGTTAATGACAGTTTTTATGAAAACTCTTATTTCCTCTGCTTTTCGATATGACCTTATGATACTATTTAATTGTTCTGAAGGGCACGGTTCAATTATAACCTGCCACTTTAAATTATATAAGTTATATGAAAGAGAGATGTCATGTCCTATATAAACCAGATATATCTAGAAATAAATAACACACACAATTTGTTTACATTGTGGATACCTACTAAGTCTACTATGTTTATTTTCTTTTGGACATTTGTTTTGTTTTCCTTCTCTACAGGCAGCAATTCTTGCCACCTAAATAATGGCGGGTGCTCTCAACTCTGTTTACCAACATCTGAAACTACCAGGACTTGCATGTGTACTGTTGGATATTATCTCCGGAAGAACCGCATGTCATGCCAAGGTACATGTTCACAAGAACTTAACTATGCTGTGCTTACTGTTTCCAGCAATGTGAGCCACATTGATTTAGGCAGCCACTACTAGTTAACAATGAGAAAAGCACAAAATTACCTTGTAATTTGGGTAATGGTGGCATTGGTACGTCCCCAAACACTCAAAAAAGTCTTCCTATTAGGGTAGTTTATACCAAGAGGATGATCAAATTTGAGTTTTCTAGCTATGTTTTTCCTCATGTATTCAATCTATTTGTAATCTGTGTCTGCTTGGTGTGTGTGTGTGTGTGTGTGTGTGTGTGTGTGTGTGTGTGTGTGTGTGTGTCCATGTCTGTGTCTGTCTGTCTGTCTCTCTGTTATGACTTACTTCATTTGAAATAAAATATGTGACTGGCAATTATTCTGTGCCAGACTAGGTTGAAATGTTCTTGAAACATTCTGATTTCCTTCCTTGTAAAATGATGAGGTGGATCTCTCTCATCCAATTTGATAGATCATAAAACTGAGAGATGAGAATGCTAAAGACCAAGTTTTGTGATAAGGTGGAATTAGGTGTGTTTAAAGATAGGAACTTTTAATAATATACACACACACATACACACACACACACACACACACATATATATATATATATTAGTAATAAACATATTTTCCAATATATTAGAAAATTCAAAAGCATTAGCATGTGTATCTTGGGTAGCAAGCTTATATCTATGTTCTATTTTAGGAAGATATCATTTTATGAAATTCAAGAATGTATTCTGGACAAACCTTATTACCTTATTCCTAGGCCTAATTGGATCTAAAAGACTTAAGAAATGGACAGTGTGTCTAAAATCATTTAAGTATCTATTGCAACAATAACAATGAGTTGGTTGTGTAAATAAAAAGCCATTATTTTACAGTACCAAGTGCATACTTGTATTTTATCGAAGACAGAATGCCCTTTGTCTATGAGGCCAGGCATTCTGGAAATGATCCTCTTCAGAGCTTCTGCCTATGATCTTCTCATACCAAGGGTATTGCTGACAGAGAAGCTTTCAGCTTAACCTACTTGGCCCCTGGGATGTGACCTGTGATCTGGGAGACTGCAGTGCACATCCGAGTTTTAGGGCCTCAGCTTACATACATATAAGCTGTGAGAATGGCACAACTATGGAAGCTTCATGAAGCTAAGAAGTACATTCACTATTATAAGTTACTATTATAGAAATGATATTAATGGATTGTTATGTGAAGTATTCACTTTGAATATTATGTCTTCTGTTTAGGAATAGAATCTTTTCTGATGTACTCTGTTCATGAAGGAATCCGGGGGATACCTCTTGAACCAAGTGACAAAACAGATGCTCTGATGCCTATATCAGGAACTGCATTTGCCGTTGGGATAGACTTTCATGCAGGTAAGTGGGTTGCATTAACAATTCATGTATAATCTTCTCTTGATCAGAAAAAAACAATGGTAATATAACTTTTAATCTATACTTGGATAATCAAGTAGAAAATGAATTAGGAATGAATTTTCAGCCTATTAAAATTGTTATAGTTATATTTTGGCTGAAAAAAAATCTAAGTATAGGTCTTTGATTTCTTTCTAAACAGTAATATTTATTTATATTTAATATTTATTTATATTTAATATGCCATATTTGACAATTGGTTGATTTTTGTTTGAAAATGGTATTTTACTTTCATGAAGTTATAAATATAAAAATACACAAGATAAAAATTTCTGACCTATTGAATTCTTAAGGTATACCCTTATTAAAAGTATTTTCTTAATGTATAATAATGATAAGCTAATTTGTATAACTTTCAATGTAGTATGTGTGGGGAAACAGAGTTGCTTTAATTCCATGTGCCTTTACAAATAATGAAAGAAAGCATCCAAAGACCAAAAGATTGATGTGGGTGATATAAATTAACCACAGGAAATTAATGATAAATATTGCTGAATGAATTGAAGTCAGCAAGGTGGGATCAGGTAACTCCAAAAGTCAGATACAGCAGGAATGTTAATGATGGCTCACTCATCTAATTTACATTTTATATCTCTTATTGTATACACAAGATTTTAAAGTTATTAAAAAATGTGTTGGTCACGAATCTTAACAGTTCTATATTTCCTGAATTCATGTTTTAGTGTTAAAATGCTCATACAGAATTCTAGTGTCCCCATAATGTAAAAAGTTAATTAATATGGAAAAGCTCATAGCTCTTTGATTTGTAATATTAAAGTAAAGAATTTTTAAAATATTAAAAGTAATCTTTGGGCTGATGAAATGGCTCAATGGTTACGAATGACTGTTTCTCTTGTAGAGGACCCAGGTTAGTTCCAGCTGATGCCTCACTACTCTTCCTAACCCTAATTACATGTGATTGAACATCATCTCTGATGTTCATAACAACTAAACACTCCTGCACTATACATACATGTAGACAAAACACACACACACACATGAAATAAACATGACAAAACTTTATTGTTTTGATCTTTGCTTAACACATGGTCTTCTAGTGGCAAAATTGTTTTTCTCCCTTGCTGTAATACATTTTGGTTTTTGAAAATTTGGAGGCTATTCACAAATGATTCAAAGATTACTGCTCTGTTTTCTTTTTTTATATGTTTTTATATTTTTGCTGGGTTGGAACTCACTATGTAGGCCAGGTTTCACACTCATGGAAATTTTGAAATTAAAGGCATTTACCACTACACCCAAAGACCACTTTTTTTAAATATGTTATCTTGGACCAAATCTTTGACACCACAGTCACAAACATCCCATGTTTGTTTGTTTTAAATATTTATTTACTCATTTTAGGTTTATGTGTGTAAGCCTGAATGAATGATTGTATATGTGTGAAATGTCCACAGAGGCAGGACCTCTCTGTCCATACTGGTGCTGAAATCTGAACCCAGGTGCTCCACAACAGCAGCAAAGGCTATTAACCACTGAACCATTTCTACAACCTCCAAACTTCTGGTATTTTCAGAAATGCTTTCAGCAAAAAGGAATTCCATGAAGAAATATTTTTATTAAACATTATGGTAATTCTGCCAAAAGCATATTACAAGTTTTGTACTACCATTGATCAAACCACTTTATTATTTATGGAAGATTTATTACCTTACATTGTATAATGTATAATAACCCTGATTTTTATACACATGACTCCATGACTTTTCCTTACTATTTTATTATGGGATTCATTGAGTGCAAAACTAAGAAAATTTAAACTTATGAAACCTTTTTTCTACACATATGCATTTTAATTTAGTACAAGGTCTCCTATGTTAGCTCATATTTCATATTTGATTGTTTGAAAGGCTCATTAATGATCTTTGAAAATATATGATTAATGTCAATAAGCAGAAATATTAAAATTAAGTATATGTTAATATTTTTATTCTGTCAATAACAAAATTTTAAAGAGAAAACTAATGATTTGTAGCAGTTAAATTCACTCTCTGAGATTTTATTTCCTGGAAAACATTATATTTAATAATACAGTGTAAGTTTCTTTGTAGGTAATAATCACCTACTTGTTTCAATAATTTAAGAATTGTTAATATATTATTCTTAATTCATATTGAAGTATTTTTCATCAGCAGAAATGATTAGTTTCAGATAAAATTCTATTTTCTCTCTGTTATGTCAACTCGATTTTTTTTTTAAAAATATAGCTGTTATTTATTCCTTGAAAGTTTCATACATTTTTAACAACTATTTTGGAATACTATGTCCATCATTATCTCACTTTAACTCTTTCTAGTACTCCCAACACCATCACCATCCCAACTTCATGTTCTCCATTTTCACTGTTATTAATAGTCCCTTGAGTCTAATTAGTATTGCCCATACATTCCAGGGTGTGTGAATATTCACTGGTCCATAAGTATCTACTAGCTGCCAAGTTCCCAAAGGAAAGTGACTCTCCTTCCCTCAGGAACCAACTTCTAATGGTTCCTCTGCAAAAGGTAGAGTTTTGGGGGACTCTACTCCGTTTGTGTTAGAATCTAGACTGGTTTGATGTGAATTTAACTGTTGGTGTTGTGAGTTGTAGTAAGCAATAACCATGCCATGTAAAGAACGCTGAGTTTCATAGCTCAGCTTTCAACTCTTACATTCTTTCTACCCACATTTCATAAATTCCTGGTCCTCACAGAGTGAAGTGAATATAGACATCCAAACACAACTGAGCACTTGTGGCTACAAATAATTGACACATTGACCGTTTATGAGTGTAGTGTTTTGAAAGAAAATGGTTCCCAAAGGCAAGGGGACTATTAGGTGGTATGGTCTAGTTGGAGGGAAGAATGCTTAAGCTATGCTCAACGTGGGTCCAACTTCTGATGCCTGAGATTCAAGATGTAGAACTCTCAGTTTTTTCTCCAGCAATATGTCTGCCTGTGTGCTGTCATGTCCTACCATGATGATAATGGACTAAACCTCTGAAACTCTAAGCCACACCAATGAAATGTTTTCTTTCTAAGAAGTTTGATAGCCATAGCAATAGAAACCCTGATTGAGACAATGAGTTTCTACATATAACTTTTACCCACTTCATGAAGATACTGAGTTCCAGGAAAAAAAAAATTTAGAAGGTTCACTTCTTGTTGAAGATATTTAGGGTTATCATGCAAGTACCGTAATCAGGCATTAATTATTTCCCCTACTGTCAGAAGAAGGTATTCTGTCTTCTATTCCTACCATGGCTCTATCTCCCTAGTTGCACATGCTTTCCTCTCCTGCCCTTCTCTTTCTCCTAAAAGAGAAGGAACATAAAAGAGAGAGCCATTATTGGTTTGAAGAGAAAACTGAACCTAAAGAAAGGTCTAGAGACCTACAAGACTGCCACCAACTAACAATTTGAGCAACTATGGAAAGGCTACCATAAATGTCCTTCCCGGATAGTGAGATAAGCAACTAAGTTATCCACCATCATGGAGCCCTGATCTAGTACCTGTTGAAAACAGAAGCAAACACCCATACCTAAACACTGAGTCAAACTAGAATCCAGATGCAAAAGGAGAGGACAAGACCAGGTTGTAGAAACACATAGAGACAGCTGACCTGAACAAGGAGGAGCTAACAGGTCCCCAGACTGATAGCTGGGAATTCAGACCCCCTGAATATGGGTCTCAGCTAGAAGGTCTGAGCAGTCTAAGGGACCTCAGACTGTGGAACCAGGATGTATTCCTTATGCACAAAAGGACCTTGCTGACACATTCCCCATGGAGGGATACTCCCTCCTAGAGACAGGAGAGAAGTCCTAGTCGCTACTTCAAACGACTTGACAGATTTACATGACTCCACCTGGATGGCATTGCCCTATATGTGGAATTGGGGTGAGGGGATGGGAAGGTGGTCAGGGTACATGTGATGGGGGAGAGAGTGTAAGAGGGAGGGATGGAGGGAGGGAAAGGGAACTGAGATCAACATGTAAAATTAAAAAAAATTAAATATATATATATATATATATATATATATATATATATATATAATGCCATTTAGGGCAGGCATTCTGAATTCTTATTTTTGGCCAGTCATGAATCTCTGTAATAACTGCTGTCCACTGAGGGCAGGGGAGCAAAAATCTTCTGCTACCAAAGTAAAGACATACATACTTAGAAGGCAGTTTTGACAGCATGATCCAATAGTAGGTTCTCCCCTAGGAACCATGACATCCCCAGACAGGGGCATTTGACCATCTTTGCAGGACCAAGCATGAATTCCCTCGGTGGAGCAGACAGCAAATTCAGTCAGGAAGTGGCTGGTTGCCCCTGTATTTTGCCTTCTCTATAGTGGTGGTAACTAACCTCTTTAATAACTGTGGCTGCTTTGTCTGCTCTGGTTCTGTCTGAAAGTAAATGTGTTCATACTCAAAAAAAAAAAAAAAGAAAGAAAGAAAGAAAAGAAAAGGTATTAATGCAATACCTGCCACGTGCACTAGAAGGTGGAAATTTCAGACACAAGTTAACCAATAAATAAAGGACCCCTACCTAGTCTAGCACTGGAGAATTTCATTTCCAATGCCCACTCAAATCACTTATGAACTCTTTGGTTTCAGGCAAAGTTTTTATTTAATTATTTATTTTAGTCTCATTGCTGTTACGAGTAAGGTTTTTCCGCCAGTCTGGTCCCACCACCAGGCCCGCCCCAATTAACACACAGACACTCTGTATTTGATATTATGCTGTTGGCCAATTACTTGTTTCTTATCAGCTAGCTCTGTCTTAAGTATTTACCCATTTCTATTAATCTAAGTATTTCCACGTGGTCTCATTTTACTGGAGAGTGGAGCCGGCATTTCTCCCTCCCATCTCTACATGCTGATTCCTCCTTACTACTTCCTCGAATCCTCCTTGTCTCCTAGTCCTGCCTATCTTGCTTTCCTATTG